TATGAAAAGTTTTTTATTAAGAATAGATTGTCAATCTGCAAAAACTATTTTAGAAAAGGATGTGAAAAATATTATTTCCAAACAAATTTTTGCTCGATGGCAAGCCCTTTTAGGTAACTTTGATTTCGAAATAGAATTCATAAAAGGCGAAAATAATTCGCTTCCTGACTTTCTTTCTCGAGAATTTTTGCAGGGAAAATGAGTTCATCGTCCTCTTCCAAACATGATGACAAGAAACCCGTCTATCAAAAGCTTGTTCCATTTCAAAATCAAAATCGTTTTTCTCCTTTAACCCCTACTTCTAAGAATTCACAACTTTATTCTAATATCCTTCAATCAAAACTTGTTACTCCAAAAGTTACTTCAACAAACACGATAAGCCCTTTTGTAAGACCTTTTACTCCTCAAACTCAAAATTCTGTGACTCCTAGCCCTCCTACAAAAACTCCTTATGTTCTTAATCCAAATTTCTTAAGAGTTCAAATTCTTGAAGATTTTCAAATCCATAAGTTACATCAAGGTTTTCATATTCTCACAAATCATCTTTTTGGTCAAGGGAAAACCTTTTATTGATTCATATAAAACTCGAGAATATTATCAAGCTATTTTGCAAGAGTCTGGTTCGGTCAATTTTGTTATCGTTCTAATTCAAAAGAAGGAAACATTGATTTTAGCAAAGCTCACATCATCAAAATCATTTCTCCAGAAAGTTGGGTTCCAAACCTTCATTCTGAAAAACCTCTTATAAGTTATCCTGCTTATCCCAGATTTTCTTACTATGATTATCAAGATGCCTGGACTAAGGCGTTCTTTATTCGAAATTATTCACACTCATGGTTTATCTTCTTTGATTTAAACTTCAATTGTGAATACCCAAGATGGTTTATCAATTGGTATAAATATATGGGAATTCTTCCAAATTGTTTACCAAAAGAAATTTACGATGGATATCTCAAATTTAAGGACTTGTTTATTCAACAAATTCCAGAATTTGAATATATGCTACAATTCACTATGATATTCAGAGTTCCATGGATAATGTCTTGGACTTTTCATTATCAAGAAGCAAAGGATACCTCTCCTCCCTGGCTTAATCGACAATTTCGCTCAAAATGGTGGGATAAAATGAAGATTTCTCAAGCCAGTGAACAAGCAGTAATTAAATATTATCAAGAAATATATATTCAAAAACCGGAGGTTGAAGCCACTTTTATCAAAAGTCTTCCTCAAAGTGATGTGGATTTAATTTCAAGAATTAAAGATGCTGCTACCTCTTCTCCTGAAGAACTTCAAAACTTACTTCAAGAAATTCGCCAAACTCCATCAGTTTCTGATGATTCTCCAAAATCTATAAAGAATGGTTTATTTCAAGACGCTCAAGACCCTTTTGATGATCCTTATGAAGAATAAGAAATTAAAATTCTTATCATTAAATTTGGTGTAATACCTTCAATGTAGGGTATTTCGTTTCTTCTATTTATCAAATTCATTATTTTCAAATTCGAGTGTGTATATACTGTGTGATTATACACTATATGTATTTATAGTGTATAAAACAAAACAAATATTATCAAATTTATTATCAAAATTATTTGTTCTCATCATCAATAATTATATGAAGACAAAAAACTTTACAAGATGCTCTATGATGGATAATATGAAGACAAAAAACTTTAGAAGATGCTCTATGAAGACATGCTTTATCAAAATGTGATATTTATTGATTACAAACGACAATTTCTTCAAAAGATGAAAGTGACAACCACTTTAAAATAATTGATTGGCCATTGAATCTTACGGCAAGATTTCACTACAAGATTTCAAGGTTTTGAAGACTTCAAAAGCAATATAAATAGACATCATGTGTTAGTAGAAGAAAGCAGGCAAAAATATTTATTCTCTAAAAAATGTTCATTCTATGTCTAAAAAATCTCCAAGAGTCTCTCTTTCTACTAGCAGATGTTCAAAGTCTCTAGATTTTCAGATAATTCTTTCTCCAGATGTATGTACTGATTGTAATTCAAGCTTAATTCAAGAAGGTATTATCTAAAATATTTTATTCAATTGTTGTATTGCTTCTATTTCTCCATGATAATTTCATTTCGAGTTGTTCTAACCATTAATTCTACAAGATTTGAAATATTTGTTAAAATAGTAGTCGTTTTTAATAATCAAATTAATCAAATTCATGCTTGAATTATTTAAATATGTCTAACAAAATCTTGATGAATTGTATTCCTAATAAAGATATTCTTGTAAGAATACAACAAATCCAAGAATCTATAAATAATTCTGAGCAAAATCTCAAGGATTCTTACAAACCTAATAATCTAGGTACGATTTTAAACAATAATCATATTCATGATGTTAGACAGTTCATAAGAGCTAGTATTAAAATACGTTACAAGCAAATACGTTATCTAAAAGCAAAACTATTTGTATTTTAATATGAAATTAATTTGTATTTTAATATGAAATTCTATGTCTTTTAACTGTAAGAAAAATTTAACTAAAATTTAACTGTATGAAAAATGGTATCTATATATATATATATATATATATATATATATAGATATATATATATATATATATATATATATATATATATATATATATTAACTTTAATACCAACATATACTAAAATTATTAGTAAATGTTTACCATTGTGCACGACGAGTTCTAGAATACAATTTATCAATATATCGTTTCTAATATTATTAACATATATTTCTTAATATATACACTATACAATAATTCATAAATTAATCATATAAACTAAGTAAATGACCAAATTAACCATACAAAGGATAATATATAGAAGAATCAAATGAAAAATTGTTTACAGTCTAGTCCAAAATGCAAATCTAGTGATGCAGCCCACAGTAAATGTATATTGCTTTTGCTCAAAACTAATGATTTTCTGCTGTTTATAATACCTAGGCTATGGTTAGTAACTTTCGATTTCCTAGACTAGACTTTTTCATATAAACCTAATTAATATTGTTTTTGCTTTATATACATTACACAGTAAATAGCAAAGGAGAGAGAGACCATACTGCCATACCTCAAGATGAAGAAATCGGGAGTCTAAGCGTGTTGAGAATCAGGTCGTTGGTGCCGTCTATCAATATACGGCCGCCGGAAATCGAAAGGAGGATCTTGTGGCGCGCCTATGGGAGGAGTCGGAGATGGGAAGGACGTCCACAATTTCTATCTTGTTTGTATTTTTGGGGTTTTCCTCTTATTCACTCTTTTTTTATATTTCTTTTTCATCGTTTATTTCTTTTAATATTAGGAAGTTTGAATTTTCCATGATGTTTATTTCTTTTAAATATGACGAAGATTGAACTGTTAAAAGATGATTATGGTATCAATAGAATTTTTTTTGGTAATTATCTTATGACCTCCTAATAACTCGGTATTAATTAACCTACATAAAAAAAATCTAGATTGTTCAAAATTTCAATTTGCTTTGTGTCACAACAGGTGTCCAATATATATTCTTCACGGGTGTCCAATATATATTCTTCACAGGTGTCCACTTGAAAACTATCATATATTTCATAGATAAATTTCCAAAATTAGGGGTGTCCATGGACACCCTTAGTATAAAGGTAGCTTCGCCACTGAATTTTGGCTCCCATATTTCATAATCCTCCTGTACAATAATGCACAAACATACTTATTTGCCTTTGCCCTTGTGTGAAATCATTTTTGTTTAGACATTCTACTAATTTTTTATTTTCAAAAACAAATAATAGATTTTTCAAAAATATTATCCACCTTATTTATTGAAAAAGCATTTTTCTCCATGATTATTCACTTAAAAACTATTATTTAATATTTGTCAAAGATTCTGTAAGCTTTTGCTTTAGTTATTGGTACCTTCCTATTTGTATATGTGGCATATGTTAATTAATATAAAAAAAATTTCTATGAATATAAAAACTTACTTGGAGTTCCAATGCTTTCTTTAGTTGTAGTAGCACCTGACTTGTTGTCGGTCGTTTTTCTCTTTCACTGTGTAAGCACTGGTAGGCAATCGCTTGAAATGTAGCCAACGATTCCTGTACAGCTTGTTGCTTTATACATTCAAACACCATCTCATCAAGTGTTCCTTCTTTATAGCGGCTTTTAATCAAACTGGATAGATCACGAAAATCGCCATTGCTGAATTCAGAAATCAATCTCCCACACAAGATATCAAATAAAACCACACCGAATGAGTATATATCAGACTCTTTCGTTAAGAATCCCAATTCTGCGTAGAGTGGGTCAATATAGACGGGTGTGCCCACAGCATCATCTATGACAAAGTCCATATCCTTATTTATTGGACTTATTAAGGAAAGCCCAAAATCAGAAATTTTTGCTTTCCAATCATCACCTATTAGAATATTGGAACTTTTGATGTTCCTATGTATCACCATCTCCTGTGTTCGACCACCTCCATGAAGGAAATGCAAACCGCATGCAACATCGATGGAAATCTTGAGTCGTTTCATCCACTTAAGACCATCATCGTTCAAGTGCTTATCGAGACTTCCTCTAGACGCGTACTCATAAACAATCATCCATTTCGTTGCAATAGCCTACAACACTAATGATGTTCTCGTGTTTATACTCCAAAACAGCTTGAAGCTCCATCAAATATTGTGATTTCTGACCACGCCCTTTATACAACCGCTTTGCAGCAATGGGGGTATTATGTCCATTAGCATGCGTAATTTCTCCTTTGTATACCTTACCTAATATATCCTCCTTCACCAATCAAATTGCTATCACTGAAGTTTTGTGTGGCCAATTCTATGTCCTCAACTGAAAATTTGAGTTGATCCTTGATATTTTCCTGTGAATCATTAAAAACTGGATCTACTTAATAATTCATAAATAAGCTAAAATTCTTATCTAAACTTCATGTTAAGTTTTTGGTTAACAATACACACACACACACACGTTCTAATAAGGATAAAATCTACACGTAAGAACAATTCTAAATTTTAACTTACTTGAAAAGATAACGCTTCCTTAAGTTTCTTGACAATCACACCTGCTGTTGGACGCTCAGCTTGAGATTCAGCCACACATTGATATGCGACTGTTGAAAATGCATACAAGGAATCTTGATCGGGTCCTTTATTTGGAGAGAACATGTTTAGATGAGTTTCTTCAATTAACCTAGCATCTACCATGTCCCTTATTGTTCCTTCATTGAAGTGTCGTCGTGCAACAGCTGCAATCCCATTGCTACTTTCCTCGGTGTAAATTGCATCATTGGCGAACCTCCCAGACAGGATCTCAAATAAAACAACTCCGAAAGAGTAAATATCTGATTCATTTTTCAACTTACCCGTTTTAATGTATTCAGGATCAAAATAAAGTTCTGTGCCTGCAAGAGTCTGTGTATATAGAGTCTTGTTTGGTTGTTGATTCTCAGGGCGGAATCGGGAAAGCCCAAAGTCAGCAATCTTTGTCTCCCAATTCTCAGTTAACAAAATGTTATAGCTTTTTATGTCTCGGTGTATTATCCTTCGATCATCCTCTATCTTGGTGTGAAGGTAATTTAATCCACGAGCAATATCAATGCAGATATTTATACGTTGCACCCAACTAAGATTAGTCAACTTAGCACTGCTTCCCAAGTAATTATCAAGGCTTCCATTAGAAGCATGCTCATAGACAAGTATCATATGACGACCTTCCTGGCAAAATCCAAGAAGAGAGATTATGTTGGGATGCTTACAAGTAGTCAGCATTTCAATTTCTGCATGGAATCCTTCTTCTCCTTGGCTGTCTTCTCTAATAATTATGCGTTTTATAGCTACAGTGCTGCGTATCTTTGGATTCTCTTCTAATGACAATAGATCTTTGTTATCGAAATGGTCAAGTTCTGCTTTGTAAACTTCACCATATGTGCCTTCCCCAATGAGGTATGCTTTGTCAAAATTATTGGTGGCCTTCTCTATATCAGTTAGTGAGATCTCTAAGTGCCTGAGGTTTTTCTGCTGCAGCATTGGGTTTATATTAAAAAGAGAGTGTTACACCCACCCTATATAGGCTAGCAAGGATGAGAATGAAGTTTTTTTTTTTTTTTTTAAAAAAAAAAACAAATCATTGAAACTCTTTTGTTGGGCTTCAAAATAATGTAGGATATAACCTTTATTTACCAAAATAACCTCAGACTGAAAGAACTAATTACCTTCAAGTGATTGGTCGACGCATCTTCATCTTCTGTGTATTCCTTTAAATTCAGCTGCAACCAAATCAACGGAAAATAACAGCATGAATATGTAGCTTGAAATTAATGAGACAGATAAAAAAAAAAAACAAACAAAATCAAAAGCATAAGGGGGAAAGGGAAATTAAGAAAAAAGATGGCGTTACAGTTTCATCATGTTCCCGTTGAAGATCCAAGGCTTTCTCAAGTCGTATGACGACTTGATGAATATCTGGTCGTGTTGATCGTTGCTCCTTTATGCAGCAATATGCTATTCCCGAGAAAAGGTGAAACGACTGAGGGTCCATTTGTTTCAATAGATCCGGATCAATCATATCATCTAGTTTTCTCTTTTCATAGTGGACTCTGGCTATGGGAGCTAAGAACTCTTCATTTGGAATATCCAAGTACTCAAATCCCTCTATAGAATGATATTCCTCAATGTTCACATCGAATAAATACCCGTCATGCTCGATGATCTGATCCAATTTCCCCAAAACATCCTGTGATTCATCTTTTGGATGTTGTTTGGCCAATTGAAATAGAAACCAATCAGGATGATTGAATCCTGTCCTCCCACACATGACTTCAAATAATACAACCCCAAACGAGTACACATCTGACTTGTGAGTTAAACCTCCAGTCTTGACATATCTTGGGTCTATGTACCCTAACGTGCCACTAGGAGAATCATGGAAAAGTCGATGCCTTCGAGCCGCTGTAATTTTCATTGAAAGTTCAAAACCAGATAACTTAGGTTTCCATTTGTCATCTAGTAAAATCTTGGAGCTTTTGATATTACGATGTAAGACGCTAAAATCACGTTCCTTATCATAATGGATGTAACTTATTGCACGTGCAATTCCAACACATATTTCTAATCTTGGCATCCATGTGAGGGTTGGGTCTTTGAGATATTTGTCGAGACTTCCATGGGTCTCATGCTTGTTTATGATAATCTTCTCACCCTCCTGATCGTAATAAAACCCAACAATAGAGACGAGGTTGTCATGCTTAAGTGTGGAAAGCATCGAAACCTCCATCCAAAACTCTTTCTTTCCTTTCCAGTATGTCGTATCTAACCTTCGTGCAACAATATCGATCCATTCACCGTGCCACAAGAGCTTTCCTCTGTAAGCCTGTCCAAATCTACCTCGTCTGATGAGATTTTCATCAGAAAAGTTGTTGGTGGCGGATAGTATCTCTTCAAATGGGATTTGTAAGTGAGCAAACTGTTTGTAGGAAGATGAAGACGACATGGTGTTTGTGTTTTTGTTTATCGATATGTGAAGGGTAGAGGATGTTCAATGTATATATAAGGGCAGCCTACCTCCTTCTCTACTTTCCGATGTTACCATCTGTACAGAAACTCCCCAGGTAATTAATTAGCCTTTCCGACTTCAGCATTCGCCTATCATGAACATCATTCATACTACAAATCACGATTCCTTACCAAATATCAGAGCCCTGTTCACCATATCGGAAACCCAGCCGCCATCGCCATAGCCGAAATCTTGCTCTGTCTCAAGATCGCACTCCCGCCTCTGTTCCAGAATGCGCCGACCTCCCCTAGCCTGAAATTCTCCGGAATCCACTAGAAAGCTAGATACTGCCGGAGATATACGACCAAGAATAGTTTAGACCTGCTGATCGCCGCTCAGACCAACTCCATTGTTAGGTAAAATATGAAAGGTTGAAAACATGTGGCTATGCATGTGAAATAAAAGAATCAATTGTTGGACGGCTAATGTGAATGGAAGGAAATTCAACGTCAACATTTGCGGCTTTCACATTTGAGTACTATTGTCACGACGACTCAACATTTGCGGCTTTCACATTTGAGTACTATTGTTACGACGACTCAATTTCATGTGCAAATTGCGGCTCTCTCACCTATATATATGCATGTATGTTTTGCATATTTTGTGTGCAAAAACTTGAGAGAACATCAAGTGTAGAGTGTCAAGCCAATTGTAATCTTGTGAGTTTTAATAAAATTCTCTAGTTGCAGCCCGTGGATGTAGGATTTGCACCGAATCCGAACCACGTAAAATCCTTGTGTTCTTCTTGCTTTATTTTCGTGAGTTTGTGTGTGTGTGATAGTGTGTTTCCGCTGCGTGTACCCGGTCCGGTTCCTAACAACTGGTATCAGAGCTTGGTTAGCAAGGTTTTGGAGGGTACGATCGTTTTTTTTATCACGCACGAGTGTACCTGATTTGTATCTTGTTTGTCGTAATGGCTGAAGACAAGATTATAATCGAAAAGTTCAACGGTTCTGATTATAGCTGGTGGAAAATGCAATTAGAAGCATTGCTATGTCAGAAAGACTTGGACATGGTACTCGGAGACAAACAGGAGAAAATGGAAAAAGCTTTTGAAGATGCGTGGAACTCAAAGGACAAGAAAGCCAAGGCGGTTATTACATTGTCATTGACGAAGAGCGTTGCTTTCAACATCATGAATGAAACCACGGCGCGTGGTATGATGGAGGCTCTGTCAAATATGTATGAGAAACCATCGGCGGCTAACAAGGTGTTCTTGATGAAAGAGTTGTTCACTACAAGGATGAATGAGGAAGGCTCAGTTACGGTTCACATTAACAATCTAAATTCAATTCTGTCCCGATTATCATCTGTGGGAATTAAATTTGATAACGAGACTCAAGCATCACTGATACTAGCTTCTCTACCTGATAGCTGGTCCGGAACAGTTACTGATGTTACGAGTTCCGTGGGGACCAGTGGTATGACTTTTGAAGGGATTAGAGATTTGGTTCTAGGCGAGGATATCAGACGCAAGAATCAAGGTGGATCTTCCTCTTCTGATTTATTAAATGTCGGAAGAGGTAGAGGGAATAGCAGGAATAGTGGAAGCAGTGGGAGTCGGGGAAAACGTTCTTCTAGAACTTTGAAGAATGTGAAATGCTGGAACTGCCAGGAGGTGGGACATGTTAAGAGTCAATGTCCAAAGAAAGAATTGAACATTGCCGGTGCTGAGAGTGTGTCTGAGGATGATGCATTGATACTCAGTATGGAAAGTTCTGTAGACTCTTGGGTCATGGATTCAGGGGCTTCGTTTCACGCCATGGACAACGGGGAAACGATGGTGAATCTAAAAGAAGGAGATTTTGGAAAGGTACGTTTGGCAAATGACGAGATGCTTCAGGTAACGGGCATGGGAGATATTGATTTGGTTACTTCATTGGGAACTACATGGAGCCTGAAGGATGTCAGGGTGATTCCGGAGCTGAAGAAGAAATTGATTTCTGTTGGTCAGCTGGATAAACAAGGACTGGAAGTAAGGTTTGGTGGTGGTAAATGGAGGGTGATCAATGATAATCTAGTGATTGCTCATGGTATGAAGTGTGGGTCATTGTATATGGTTGAGGTATCTGCTGAGGGAAGTATGACTGTCCCTGTTAAGCAAGACAAAATCTGGTTCGCTAAATCTACGGCTAAGAGAGTTCATTTTGCAAACATGAATTCTGGAGCCAAGGGGATGTTAGCTGAACGAGTCAGAAATTCTAAACCATTCAGGAGATTCTGTGACAGTGGGAGCACGAGGTGTGTTTCGGGTACAGTTACAAAGAGCCGTTGGGTTTTTTGAAGACTAAGACTGAAAAAGTCTCTCCTGTTGAAAGTTTGCAAAGTTGGGAGAGTGTTAGTGGTCCTCGGTGTATCTCTGGATCTGGTGGAGTGTCCAAACCGGTTGAGACAGAGGATGAGTCGGTGGTGGGATTAGCCACGACTGAGTTGGAGCTAGTGGGAGCTTCAACTGTCCCTTCTAGTACTTGAAGATGAGGGGCGGCTGCAATTAGAGAAATGGGACTAAGTTTAGCTTGTTCTTAGGAACTGGAGGCTTGGAAGACTTGGTTGTTTTAAGATTACTGGAGTTGGATGACAGAGACGGACCATGTTGTTCAAACTTTCAAGTGGGAGATTGTTAGGTAAAATATGAAAGGTTGAAAACATGTGGCTATGCATGTGAAATAAAAGAATCAATTGTTGGACGGCTAATGTGAATGGAAGGAAATTCAACGTCAACATTTGCGGCTTTCACATTTGAGTACTATTGTCACGACGACTCAACATTTGCGGCTTTCACATTTGAGTACTATTGTTACGACGACTCAATTTCATGTGCAAATTGCGGCTCTCTCACCTATATATATGCATGTATGTTTTGCATATTTTGTGTGCAAAAACTTGAGAGAACATCAAGTGTAGAGTGTCAAGCCAATTGTAATCTTGTGAGTTTTAATAAAATTCTCTAGTTGCAGCCCGTGGATGTAGGATTTGCACCGAATCCGAACCACGTAAAATCCTTGTGTTCTTCTTGCTTTATTTTCGTGAGTTTGTGTGTGTGTGATAGTGTGTTTCCGCTGCGTGTACCCGGTCCGGTTCCTAACATCCATCACAGGCATACCCAAACCATCCGACCTGTTGCGACTGTCCTCTCTGGCCGCCGCCGTCCAAACTATCGAAATTCTTCACAAAACCCTCCGACACCTCGAAGACTCGACAACAATCAGAGTTTCGAGCTCCGCCGCCCCACTGGTCTTCCCAGTGGTAAAATCCAATTGAAGTTTGATCTCCGTGAACTCCACAATATCAAAACTTATTCCGACCAACGTTGGGTCGCCGACGCTACCCTCGCCTCCGTTGAGGGCACCAAACGCGGTTGTTTCTGGCGGGCGTACGTCAAATCGCTGCCTTTGCGTTTACCCGTATTGACTCCTTTTTCTTAGTTGTAGCTTATTGGTATGCCCATCATCCTCCAAAAGGCCAGTTTAAAATATAACTTCACATTCAAAAATCCAAATTTTTGAAGTTGATCTCCAATTTCCGAATAAGGTTCAAAAATAAGATTTGTCGTACTTGTGTTTGGATTACTTATTTAACTCAAACAATTTTTTTTAGTCATGGGTTATAAAAAAATAATTTCTAAAAAGGTGTTGGGACTAATTTTAGACCATCTCTAACATTTTTATTCCCTTTACATTATCTTTTACGCTAACTTTAACTTTATAATTATAGTGTAAAAAATTAATACAACCACTAAATTCTCTCCAACCAATTACATTATACTTAACACTAAAAAAATATATTCAAGGTATATTATAGTTTATCCAACTTTAATAGTGTGAAAGATAGCGTTGACGAATAATATAAAATTATATTTAGTGTTATAATATAACACTATATTTAGTGTTATAATATTCATCAACACTATATATAATGTTATGTTCAGTGTAAAAATGAGTTTTGCATGGACTATAGTGTGGGGAGTTGGACATGCATTTATATAATAGCAAGAAATTATAACTTGATAAGCAATTTTTAAAAAAGTTTAGACAAACTTATAATCATCTTATAAAAATAAGAAGAGTGTGACTTTTTGAAAAGGGATAATGTCATAAAAAGCCTTAAGTTTGGCAGAAAATGTCGGTTTTACCCTTCGGCAGATTTTTTGTTTGTTTATACCGCAAACTTGTCATTTTTTTGTCGGTTTTGCCCTTTTTACCTGCAATAGCAGGTTTCCAGGTTACCATGAATTATTTTTTTGCGAAAAAACCCTTAAGTTT